ACTTTGCATTCTTGCCTTTTGGTGGTGGACCAAGAAAATGTGTTGGGGACCAATTTGCCCTCATGGAATCAACCATAGCATTGGCAATGCTGCTGCAGAAGTTTGACATCGAGTTGAAAGGGTCACCGGAGTCTGTGGAGCTCGTTACTGGTGCAACCATTCATACAAAGAATGGGTTATGGTGCAAATTGAAGAAAAGGTCAAATTCTGCACTTAAAATCTCTCTTTAACTTCCAAATCCATAAAGTTCATTGGATGTTCTTCTTTGGTACCACACTGTAAAATCTTATGTAAATGCAATTTATTAGTTGTAGGAGTATTTTATTCAGGGTCCTGAAATTCCCAAAGATATGTTTGATTTTGTGTCTAGTCCCCTTGTTCCAAAATGAAGTTTATATTATCAAAAAAAAAATGTGGCTCGCCATATTTCTTCTCGAGTTTAATTTTAACCATATATTTTTATTTTCCAGTATTTTTAAAAACTTTGCGAAGACAAATCGATAAACTTCGTTTTGGGACAGAAGAGGGAGTATGTTTTAGCGGTGTGACTTGAGGTTGGCGTTTGCTGTTTTTTTGGTGATGCACGTGCACAAGGAACATTTTTACGAAAAAATGAAAAAAATTTACACTTACTCCAATAAATCTTTGATTTTACGTTAATACTCTCAAATTTAATAAATAAAATTGATACTCTAATAATTACATTTTTTTTATAATATTACCCTACATGCCATGTGGCTTGCAACATAGATTCTTATCTTATATGTGCAAGGTTTCTTTTTTGGTCCTTGTTTACATGGTCTGACCAATTTTTTTAAAATAAAGTGGCGGGTTGATCTGGTTGTTTTTTTCTTTTGTTTTCTTATGGTATGGAAATAGGTGGAAAACAATGGTGGGCATATCTAACTGGTTTTCATATTAATTGTTCCCTCCGTCCTAAAACCATCTTCTCGCATTGACTAAATATCATTTTAAGGGATTGGTTATTTTCATTTTGACTTGTTATTTTGCCCTTCGCACATTTTGCCTCTCCTTGAGAGGGTTCACCCACCCTCCATTTCTCCTCTCTGTAAATACAACAACAACAACAACAACAACAACAACAAAGTCCTATCCTAATAGATGGGGTCGGCTACATGGATCAAATGACGTCATTGCGCCCTCTCGTGTATCATATCTGCTGTTAGATTGTTCATGCGAAGCTTTTCCTTAATCAATGCTTGCCAAGTCCTCTTAGGACTACTTCTTCCTCTAGCCACATGTATGTAGGGGTGTAAACGAATCGAAGCGAATATCGAGATATTTGAATTTGTATTCGTTTAATTTTTTTGAATACGAATCCGAATCCGAATATGAGACGAATTAAAAAATAAGATTTGAATTTGTATTTGATTAATATTCGAATACTTAACGACTCCTAAACGAATATTTTAATAATTATACTCCGTACTTTATATGATGGACCGACATAGATTTTGAATAATTTAACTTACGACACTTTTTATACTTTATCTAAAAACATTAATACATTTTCATCTTACACAAATTATATTTTATAAAATATAACTAAAAATCATATGTTTTAGATTTTCGTGATACGTTAATTTGTTGAATTCTAGCTTAGTAATTAAAATACATTTTATACTATATTAGTTTACTTGACTATTGATGTTGAAACATGGTTTGTGGGTATAAACATATATTCGAATATTCGAATAGCATACGAATCGAATATACTCCTATTTGTATTTGTATATGTTTAATATTTGAATCAAAACTAATATTTGAATTTGAATTTGTATTTGAATAATGTGAATTCGAATCATTATATTCGAATACAAATCACGAACCGAATTAAAAGTATTTGATTTGTTTACATCTCTAGCCACATGCATATTCCCATTTAAACAATTCTTCTCACGGGATGCTCTATTGGTCTTTTCTCCACATGTCTAAACTACCTAAGACGAGTTTCTATCATTTTTCCTATAATAGGTGTCATTCCAACTCTAGCTCTCATATCTTCATTCCTAATTTTATCCATACGCGTATGACCGCTCTTCCAATGAAGATCTTTATTTCTGCCACACCAACTTTGTATTCATGTTCACCCTTTGTTGCCTGAAGCACTCCACCATTTTGACCAATCGGCTTGAATCTTGTGATTAACATCATCCTTCATTTCCATTATTTTGAATGATACACCCAAGATATTTAAATCTCTTTACTTTTGGAATAATAGTTTCTCCAACTTTCACCTCGATGTTACCGTTTCTCCTTCTGTTGTCAAACTTTTACTCCATATACTCTGTTTTAGTGTGACTTATACGCAAGCCATGCATTTCTAAAGTCTGTCTCCATGAATCCAGTGTCCCATTCAAACCCTTTGGTGATTTGCTCTTAAGGATGATATCGTTGGCAAAAAGCATGCCCCATGTTACAGATTCTTGGATATGCTCGGTAAGAATGTCCAATACTAGTGTAAAAAGATATGAGCGTAACGATGACCCTTGGTGTAATCCAACACCGATGGTGAATTCCCATGTTATTCCAGTTTGACTTCTCACGCTCGTTGTGGAATCATCGTACATGCCCTTAATCGCACGAATATACCTTGCTCCTTTTTTCTCTAGCACCTTCCACAAAACCTGTCTTGGCACCCTGTCATATGCCTTTTCCAAATCAATAAAAGCCATGTGTAGATCTTTCTTCTCGCTTCGATACCTCTCCATCATTCTTATCACCAAGTATATAACCTCTGTAGTCGATCTTCCTGGCATAAAACCAAATGGGTTCTCTAACACCGAAGTCTCTTATCTCAACCTCCGTTCAATCACTCTATCCCATAACTTCATCATGCGACTCATAAGCTTGATCTCTGGATATCTCCCTTATTCTTGTAATAGGAACCAAAATGCTCTTCCTACATTCGTTAGACATCTTCTTAAATCTTAAAATATCGTTAAAAAGCTTAGTTATCCACCAAATGCCTTTTCCTCCTAAAGCTTTCTAAACTTTAATTATAATGTTATCTGGGCCCACTGCTATGCTATTCTTCATTCGTTTTAGGCTTTCTTAACTTCAGTTTCTTGAATTCTTTGATAATAGTTGAAGTTTTGGTCCACCTCTCTCGTGTGTAGCCGATCGTAGGGGTGGACACGGTACGGTTCTGGTTCTGGAACCGCCGGTTCGAGTACTGCCACCCCTTGGTACCGGTACCGTGACCGGACCGGGCGGTACTGGTACCAGACCGGCCGGTTTCGGCCACCCCAATATTTTTTTTTTTGCTTTTTTTTAAAATTTTTGAAAGTGTAAAATTATAAATTTGCTTAAAGGAAAGAATGAAATAAAAAATCTAAAAATGTAGTTGTTATTTAAATATTGTAAAATGAGTAATACAACTACATTTAATATCCTGACGATTCAAAAAAAGCGACGAGGTAAAGAACCGTAAAGAAACCCTCGAAGGAGCTTATATATCGCTCGCCTAAAAAAACTAATTACATATTTACATTATTACATATCTACATTAACATAAAAAAAAGTTTATAACTTATTCCTCAGAACTCGGACTTCCATCTGTGATTGCATTCATGTAATGCTCCGAATTGAATTCGTACCCTGACTCTTGTTATAAAGAATCTCTTGATATTCCTTAAACAAATTCTCAAAAAGAGTTATAGCATTATCTCTTTCTTTTTCCCATTCTATTAAAAGGCTGTAGTAATAACTATTTTCATCTAAAAAACAAGTGTAGTAATAGTCAATAAGAATTTTAAAATTTTCAATCTTAAAGCGTGGATCACAAATAATACCTATTTTATAAATATCAGGAATGTACAAATAATAAGCACACCATTTATCTTTCATAGGAGAGACATAAGAGTACAAATCTTCATCAGCCAAGCTTTCACGAAAACATGTTGCGATTGTAACGCACTCTTTAAAAAATGTATTTGTAGTTGATTGGTAAACATGCGAAAAAGTAAGAGTTGCGTTATTAAAAACTTCTAATACGACATTCAATTTTTCAACAATAACAAATTCAATACGTGAAATGATTAAACGAAGTTCATCCCTAAAATATTCAGCAAGTTCCTCTTTGTAGCTTAGAATATGTGCTAGCAACTTGTAAGTACTATTCCATCTAATGTTGATATCTTTGGCAAATGTTATTTGTCTTCTACCCTTAGACTTACAGAATGTCTTCCAGGACTTCGAAATAAGACGACTACCCCAAATTTTTCTAATTCCATCTTTAATATTCGTCAAAACCTCCCATAGCTTCTAATCTCTGTTGAACACATAAATTTAAAACATGATAGGCACACCGTTGATGCAAAAATCTACCCATAATCGTGCTAGGGGGGAAATTTCTTTAAGTCTAGGAATAGCAGTAGTATTATTAGTAGCATTATCAAAACCAAATGCAATCAGTTTATCAAGTAAGTTGTATTCCCGCAGAATACTCTGAAGCAATAGAAAAATATTTTCAGCAGTATGAGAATCATTGAAATCACGAAATGCAAGAACACGTTTATGCATAATCCAATCACTATCTATCCAATGAAAAGTAACACCCATATAAGACAAATTATGATATGTTTCACCCCAAATATCAGAACAAATAGTAACACGAGAATTAAAATTGAGAAAAAAAATTTGCCAAATTTATTTTTTCAAGTTTATACTATCGAATAATTTCTCGTTTAATTGTTTTTCTTGAAAAACCTCTTGCTTGAGGGTTTAATGCATGTTGACAATAATCAATAAATCCAAGTTTTTCAGAAAACATGTATGGCAAATTTTCTTCACAAATCATTTCAGTCATTTTTTGCTTATTTTGCTCGTCGCTATAAGAAAAAAGGCCCCCCTTACCTCTGTTAGCAAACCGAGAAATTTGTGTTTGCACTTCTTGTCTTCCCTTCTTTTTCGCCGCATATTTGGCGTACTTTACGGGATGCCTCGACCTTAGGTGTTTTTCCAGACCACCATAACCGCCGGAAACTCCCATTTTAATGATGGTGGCACAATATTTACAAGTTCCATAAACTATGCCATCTTTTGTATCTTTTTCAAAATGATAAACAAATAAATCTGATTTTAATTTTTTTTACCTTTGTCCGGACCTTGAGAGGTCTCGGGCTCACCTGCCTCCTCGTCGACGTCGTTGCTGTGCGGTGTAGGCTCCCCGTCCCCGTCCAGTCCTGCTTCATCAATCTCCTCGAATAAACTATCAAGAGTTTGGAGATTCGCGTCGCCTCTACCGGATATGTACTGGTCGAATTCTTGATCCGTCAAAGCGTCGCCCATGAATTGATCGGAGATAGTAGGAAAGGAAGAGACAGAGTGTCTTCCTCGAGAACTGCGTGAGGTCGAACCGTCGAAGGTGACTTTAGCTTTGCCTTTCCTCGAACTTCGGTTCACGGCGCCCATATCCACGGACCTTCTACCGAACTCTCTCGCCATTTTAATATATATATTTTTTGATATTTCAAAAAATAATATATTAAATTTCGAAAATTTAATAAATTTTCAAAAATTTATATATTAAAATTTTGATAATTTCGAAAATTATAAATCTTTTAAAAAAAATAATATAATTAAAAAATTAATAATATATTTAAATTATTTAAAGAATATATTTAAAATATTAATTAAATATTAAATTTCGAAAATTTCGAAATTATAATATTAGTAATAAACTAAAAATATATGATAATTGATAATATGAATAATGAATGTATTTATAAGTTATTATGTAATATATTAATATATATTTATATTATTATATGAATATAAATTATATAAAAATAAAAAAGAGATAATAAGATTGAGAGATTTAGATTTGAGAGATTGATAGATTGAGAGATTGAGAGATGGATTGAGTGTGATTTTTTTGAAAAAAATGGTAGTATTTATAGTTTTTCCCCCCTCCCCTCCCCCCCTCCCTGACCTCAAACGACTATTTAGTCGTTGAGGCCCCCCCACTGACTTTTCCATTCTTTTTTGCAGGTGTCGGTTGGAAAGCAAAGCAAACCAAAAAAAAAGAAAAAAAATGTAAACGGGTACCGGAACCGGTACCGGCGGTGCGGTACCGAATATTTGGCACGGGAACCGGTACTGAGTGGGGCAGTACCAGTTCCCGGAACCAGTGGTACGTCCCGGCCGGCGGTGACGGTGGCGGGTACCGGCGGAAGAGTTGCCGGTCACTGTACCGTACTGGTACCGTGTCCACCCCTAGCCGATCGTAGCATGAAATATTCTCATGCTCCTCATTAAATAGATCATTGAAGTAGCTCTTCCACTGATTGTTTATGCTTTCATCGGAAACCAAAACTTCCTCATTCTTATCTTTAATTTCCAAGTATTTTTTTCCCGAAATGGAGTCCATGAGCCTATTCGAGGTGGGCTCGTTCGTCTAGCGGCCACCCAATTAATTTGAAAAAACTATTTTGAAGGCTTATTCATAATTTAGATGATAAAGAATACAAAAACATTTTCAATTTAACTGTAATTTAATAGGTATTTTGATAGGAAATTATTTAGAGAATACTTTAATTATTATTTATTGAAGGTGTATTTGAGAAAACATCTTATTAAAAAAAGACTATTTTAGAAACTTACTATACTTTAAATTTTGAAAAAGATTAATCTAAAAATAGAAGATATCTCCACATAATTCATCACAAATAGAAAGCTCCAGCTAGATCGGATCGATTCCCCGGGAAGGAGACGAACAAAGCCAGAGTCTGAAAATGGTAATTCTTCTCCCCCTTCCACCTCCGATCAAACTTTTCCTTTACACTCCGCAGTTCCCCCACTCAATTTCGAGATCGACAGGTCTGCTTGGCGTGCCTGTTGCCGCTCTTCCTCGTCCCAGTTGTGAACTTCTTGCCGCTTCTCTTCGATTTCGTCATGGTAAGTGACTAAGAGCTCCCTTCCTCTCGTTTTTGGATCTTCAAGAGCTTATTTTATCAATCTGATCTCTATTTCTGAAACTGTTAGGTTTTTTTGTATTGGTACACTGAATTCAAGCCATGTAATTGGAATTGGGAATTGCAATTGTAATTCTGCTGTTTGGTAGCACAAAAATATGTGGATTCGGAATTAGTAGTGCAAAAAGTGAAATAGAATTGGAGAATTCAATTCCGTCCAATTCAACTCTATAGAATTATAATTCCAATTCCGTGTACCGAGCGGACCCTTAAAGCCCGTTTGGTATACGGGATTGATGAAATTGGAATTGAAATTCCATGGGATTCACAATTCCATAGAATTGAATTCACCAATTCCAATTCATTTTTTGCAATGTTAGTTCCAAATTCACATAATTTTTGTGCTACCAAACACCAAAATTAGAATTGAAGTCCTCAATTCCAATTCCATAGTTTGAATTCCGTGTACCAAACGGAGCCTTAGTATTGTTTCTGTGAATTTTTTACAGGCGAAGGTTTACAGAATATTTGGGAAGGAGTATCAGAAACCTGCAAGAGTCCCTCCTGCTTGTCCTTATAAACCTCCTGCCAATAAATCCGTAAGTCATTTACTACTCTCGGAATCTTTTGCTGAGTATATCTTTAATTTGTTTATGGATCTCAGCGAAATGCTTTATTGAACGAGTTTTCATGGAACTTTAAAAGAAACAAATGAGGTTAGGATGAAAATTGAAATGATGAACTTGTGAATAATGCTCAAGTTTTTGACTTATTTTAAACCTTTAGTACTGATACAGTAGTTCTTGTACTCTTTTGCATTTTCATATGCTCCTACAATTGAAAAAATATATGTATTTAAAGATTAAAAATGAATTCAAGAATGAATAAAATTTCAAAAGAAGTAATAGTGTATGTTCTAGTAAAGTATGTTTGGACTTCATTATTAATGCAGAAATTTGAATATTATGAATATACGGGGTATCATGTGATGGAATAATGAGTGATGTACAAAGTACATATATTTACATTTTCATGAGTTTAGCTTGTTTAAAATATGAGAAGGATTATTTTGATGCCATTTACTTTTATATACCATTTGACACCACCATTTAATCTCCACCATCTATCTAACTCCTTTTGATCATAGCCACCAATAACTTCCTTTAATCCATCTTTTACATCAAAGTCTTTTTCTTTAACCCATGCCAACTGGTTGGCCTGAGGTATATACACAAACACATCCAAAGAGGAAAGGAAATTATGATGTAAAACACGTCCAAGGAATCTATTTCCTGTATGCATTGTTAGTCCAGAATAATGATGAAGGAAATTCTTGTTTCGTACACTGAGCAAAAAGGCACAAAATTATTACAATGGCCGTCAGAGTCAGAAGCAGCAAGGAAGCTGGTGATTAATTTTTCTTCATTAAAAAAGCAAGATAATTAGTACTGATAAGCAAATACTGTCTTAAAAAAGCATACCATTTTTCAGATTTTTGTCATTTAAAAGGAACTTTATACACATGTAGTGACAAATACAAAATGCATATGGATTGAAGTGAGCAATAAGCTAAGCAAAAAACCAAAAAAAAAAAGCTTCATGTCCAAGAAAATTGGATTGAGGTGTCTCTTATGTTTTTTAGGGCAGTTTCGTGAGTCGTGTCCATGCCTTTCACAGGACCTACAAGTTCTTATCTTTGCTTGCGCTTTTTCTATTCCAGTTTTGAAATGACTGTCACGAGACTTTGCTTCTTTTGGCAAACCCTTAGCCTGTGGAACTTGTTGATCACGGAGAATACTTGTGAAAGCTAGAGTACATGTTTGGATGAGATTCATATATGTAGTACATGTCTTTTCTTTGCCAATGCCATCCTCACTATCAAATATCAAGGCTATCCTCGACAACAGGCATATCATTTTCATTCTATGTGAAAGCTAATTTTGAAGCCAAAAAGTATAATTTGTTAACACCTTTGATAACAATTTCTTTTTGACATCAAATTCCCTTTTAAAAGCAAAAAAATCAATCATATTTTATGTATAATTTACTACGCATTTACCGCTGCAAGATTCCATTATTCCAAATCCAATGTTCCAAGATTCAGAGCTCATGCAATTTTTCAGATTGTAGAGTCGTGTTTCAAATCCAAAATCCAAAATATAAAGCTAGGAAAGCATCTGCAGAGCTTCAGATATGGATTTTATTTTTGTAATTTCTGTTTGGGAATGTCTACTGCTGAAGGTGGAAGTTAAAGCAAGGAAAAGAATGGAGGAGCTCGGACAATGAAATACCCAAGGAACAAACCCTCCCGCTTGTTGGGAATAACTGAGGAACCGCGAAACACAATGCTATTGTTTCTTTATGCTTTCTCTTGTTATTTATCTGATTGGACAAAGTACCAAAACTAACCCTACGTAGTCATGTCTGCCAATAGAACTATACAATATAAACAAGGACCCTTTCGAGTTTCACAGGTTTCTATGGAACCCTTTCCCGTCGATCAAGATACTATCAATGGAGATGATCATGGCAAGAAGGCGTAAGTGTCGCCTGCAATTCTTACAATGTATTTTGTTTCTGTAAGCTCTTACTTAATATGTTTAACACAAATAAACACTGTTGCTGGTTAAGATTACTCTCCTTTTTTTGTACATGGGAGGGAAACTCCAAACCTTTTATACTGGTTATGAGTAGGCTTGGAAAATGGGTCGTTTATGTCGATTATGGATATGGTTTACTTGTGGTCATGTATCGTTTTGATCAATATATTTCTGATCAGGTCTGAGTTTGGTTTGGAGAATGTTCGGACCAATGTTCTTCAATTCGGGTTCAGTTCCGGATTAATTATGTTCGGACTGGGTCAAATTTGGTTGACGATTTGGGTTGGTTTGGGTACGGGTTGGGTCAATCTTGTTTTGGGTATGTTTCGGTTTAGATTTTTTGTCATACTTCGTACATAATAAATTGTATGAGTAAAACTAAAATAAATTTTTTTGAATACTAATATCTCTATTACAATGTATTATCTGTTCATAATGAGTTTATTTCAGTTTTTAAATATGACATATGTTTTGGGCTAGTTTCAGTATGGATCATTTCGGTTTGGGCTTGAATCAGGGCAATTTTGGATTTGTTCAAACTAAAAAAAGGGTGACAAGTATGCCTTTTGAGTTAATTTTATTTACCCTGTTTAATAGCTTTGATTTTCCAATCAAGTTTCGTCTCTGAGTTTTTGGGTTTAGAAAACTTTCATAACTCGAAAAAGTATAGTTGTCACTATTTTTATAGAATTTTTGATGTAGTTTTAAATTTTTCCTAAAACTCGGGTAAAATAAAAGGTATTCGAAAATCTTCAGTTCACTTCAAAAATGCGTAGGGATGGAACATTGATCGAGCGACTTCTATTACTTGATATACTTCTTTACTTTCTTGATTTTACGGTCAAAGAAAAACTCATTGTCAATGTGTTTGTCATTTATCAAATTCTGAAAATAACAGCACACAAAAAAAACAATCTAAAGGGTTTGAACTCATGTCCAACATTTAGTATAATACTTTTAATAGCTTTTTACTAGTATTAATTTTATTGGTCAAACATGTTATTCGAAAATGAACCGGAGTGTTAAAAAAGACTAGATTTATTACTTTTTATGATTGACCGCATGAAGCTCACAAAAAATTAATTAATTTGGTCACTATATTCAATCAATAAAAAATAAAACAATATCAAATCACAACTCCTTATATTGATTAAAATTGCTAACTCATTACATAATAAATAAGTGGCAAACAACTTGTTAAAAATGTTAAATAAACTTGTCACATGTCGAAATTTTAAAAGACGAAGGCTCAAATATTGTAGTAATAAAAGATTAGCCAATAAATATCTTTTGCAAATTAATTGATAGTTATTTATAGTTACACATTAATAACCTCCCAATTATAATTACTTTACATGTACCGCGTAATGATTTTTCATACGTGCTACATTTGGGAATGAATGTTTGTTCTAATAAGATTTTTCCATATTTTAATTTAAAATTGTCAAGTCATCAAAGTTGACAGATGATTTGTAAAAAAAATTGCCAAGTAGACTATCCACGTGTCTAATTTCTAGGAGTTCAATTCTCAAATTACATATATAAAAATATAAATAATATATATTTTCTTCTTTCTTTTTTATTTATTCGTTTCTTTTTTTGTTCTTCTTTTACCCTTTGTGTTTTTATTCATGCTATGTGCTTTTTATTTTGCTTGAATTAAGAGCTTCTTGAAAATAATATATCTTCTTTGAGGTAAGATCTGGGTGTACACACTCTTTCCAAATTTGAGATTATAGTGAGTTTGGTGAATTAATAAATGTTAACCTTTACCAATTTGAAAAATGTTAGGGATACACCAAAAAGTGTATCCCAAATATACATCCCTACATTTCTATCATACAATCTATGAAAAAATTAGAAAATAGATAAGATTAAATAATGATGATTGACGCTGTACAAATAACAAATGAGTACACCATTAAGGGTTTAAATGGATATTAATCAGATCGGATGTGTTATTATCAGATTTGTATCCGTTTATTTTTATTGGATATCGAATTCAGATACAAATCTTGATGGATACTAAAAATCAAAATGTATCCGTATCTGTCAGATATCGGATATATCTATATCAGTTTCTAATTTTTAAAGTCAAATTGAATAATACTTTATTTTCCAATTAAATTAAGTCAAAATATTATTCATTCAATTGTAATTTGTACGGAGTTTTTCTCAAAAAAACAATAATTTTTTTTTCATATTTTTCATAATTTACCCGAGTATAAAATTTTAAGGCAACTCCATATGGTAAAAAGATATACATAGTACACATGCACATTGTATAAACGGATCGGATATGAATTATATTTTTTTTTTCGGTTAATTCGGTTTTAGGCCGAAACCGACCGAACCGAACCGAAAAAAAATTTACTCACATTAACCGACCGAACCGAACCGAATTTACTATATAACCGAATAAACCGAACCGACAAAAACCGAATCGGTTCGGTCGTTTTTTCAAAACCGAATATGTCCGGTGCTAATACTTGTCCAGCACAAAAAGTAACCACTAAAATTAGATTCATGCTAACATTTTTTTTCTTAAGCTGCATGTTTTTTTTCTTCTTACCATTTTAAGCCGTATGTTTTTTTTCTTCTTACCATTTTTTTTCTTACCATAGGTACAAGAAACCACTAAAATTAGATTCATGGTAACATATTCAGCAATTTTTTTTTGCTTAAGTGCTTATGATGTAAGAACACATTGAAACAAAAATCATAAAAGGAGCATGCGACCCATTTAGGAGAAAAAGATAAACAATTTAAATATGGAGCAATGAAGCATAGATTTTGGGATACATACCGGATTGGGCTAAGTCTGGTGAAATCCTTCCAATCGGAAATTGCGCGGAGAAGGTGAGGTAGATTCGTTGCTAGTGGGTGGGACACTAGCCGAACGAGGCACCAAGGGAGGGAGTGAGCTAACGCAGGGCCTAGCAAGGGCAAAAACTAAGCCTTTTAAAACCAACCGAAAAAACCTTCACGGACCATACCCCCCTATATATGCTTAAAAAACATAAACCCAAGTTACAGCAGTAGATACGATTTTGCTGTAGAGTCACACTCACCAAACAGGCCCCAAATTCAAACACAAAGCCAATTCCTCGTCACAACCCGTAACCAAACATCATTCTTAGATCATAATGATATGCAAAACACACTAACAATCATTTGGGGGGACAAAAAAGCAATAGCCAAAACGGTAAAAGCAGTGGTTCTCCGAAAGCCCACACTTCAAAAACCACATGTGAAAAACAAAAGGCATGCCACCCAAAATTTGATTTCCAGATACAAAAGCTATACGAACTTGTTTAATGGCATTTTGCTTTGCAAACGCCAAAAAAACAAACGGAAAAGAGCAAGAGCCAAGCCTTTTTTTAGCCGACCGGAAAAACCTTCACTGACCATGACCCCGCTACATGATGCAACGATAGCCGGCATTCCCCAAGCGAGCATGTGAAAACATGATCATGCCCGCCGATGTCTCATGGGTGCGCATGAGGTAACACACGGCCTAGCCAGGGCAAAAACCAAGCCTTTTAAAACCAGCCAAAAAAACCTTCACGGAACATACCCCCCAATATATGCTTAAAAAACATAAACCCAAGTTGCAGCAGCAGATACGATTTTGCTATAGAGTCACACTCACCAAAAGGGCCCCAAACTCAAACACGAAGCCAAATCTTCGTCACGGCCCGTAGCGAAATATCATTCTTGGATCATACAAATATGCAAAACACACTAGCAAACTTTTGGGGAAGTAGCCCCTTGGGGTGTCCAATTATTGGGCATAACTTTTGCTAGGAGTGTCCGTTTTCAGCGTGCGACCACAAATTCGCTCGTTTAGGCTGCCATTTTGCAGTTTTATTGTTTCTGGGCCTATGGCCTGCTTTTTGTTCAGCGCATTCATTTCTCATTCCTAGGCCGGCTTGCGGGGTTCTTTCATTCCCCACAACGAATTGCGCGGATCTTGTGGGGAAAGGGACGGATTAGTGATTAAAGAGAAGTCGCTGTGCGGGAGAGTCGGTGAGACTCGCGAGTGACTGAGTGGAAACTGAAAAGAGAAACAAGATGGGGTTTGGGGATGGCCTGTCATTAGTTGGACTGGGCTAGTGGGCTGTATTGGTTGGATTGGGCTAGTGAGTTGTGTTGGTTGGATTGTCTTAGTTGGATTGGGCTCGGTTTTTCGGTCGGTTTCGGTTAATACTGTCCGGAACTGAAACCGAAACCGAAACCCGAAATAACCGACATTTTTAAATATTAATAACCGAAACCGAAACCGAAACCGAAATTTCAGTCGGTCCGGTTAAATTCAATCGGTTTATCGGTCGGTTCGGTTAAATTGCTCACCCCTAGGTGTGTGGGTCTACAAAACGAATCAAGGAAAGGAAAACAATGAGTCGTCAAAAGTCTATAAACAAGCGTGGCCTGGCGTCGTGCCCGGACCGGAGCAGAGACTGAAGTCGTCGAGAAAGAGACGATGGGAGAGATCGCCGGAGTTCCGTCGGAGGCGGCAGATCGCCAATTACCCGGCACCGACATCAGCTGTAACGGTAACAATATCCATAGCTCAATTCCCCACGCTTCGTTCGTGAAAAGAGGCGTGCTGAGCGGTGTGCATGCGTTAAGAGGTTTATTTATACTCATAGAGTTTCGTGCTCCGTAATTCCTTAATGTACCTCGGTAAAAATATACTTTTCGTGCTAACTTGCTCCAAATTCATATATGTTTACACCGTTGGATTCCTCTCATAGAATCACACACAATGGTATAGTTTTTTAATTTACTGACAAGTATTTTTTTTAATTAAATCTCGATTCTTCTCAATAATTAATTAACTATTTTTAATTATTTAATTCTGATATATAGACCGAGTTTCAGGGTGTTACAAGGATCGTTGCTCCCATCGATGTAAAGACGATTCAAATATTTTTTCATGGAAGAATATTTAACTAGGACTAACATATGTTTTATATGTAGTATATCACAATAATTTTTTTATACACCAAGATTCCATCAACTGTCTTTGGACTGATCTTCATCTTCTTTGGTGGTGGTGCAAGTACTTTCGCGAGACACCCCTTCCCTCTATCAGCACTCTTCACTGTAAGATCACTACTATATAACCCCTTCCCTCTATCAGGATCCTTCACTGTAAGATCAAAATGTCCGATAGGCCGAACACAGCTCGACTAATAAACAAGGCACTACCTCAAATTGTTGAGGCAGTAACTGTTGGACTTATAGTCACTCTTAGCACGAAGCTTATAGTGTGGATCGTCCGCCGCTTCCAATAGTGGTGGTGTGAGGAGAAGATGACAGCGGTCAACGAGAACTCCATAGCTGCTGCCGCCGCCGATAATTACAATGCCAACATTCGTACTGCCAAATTATGATAATTACAATGCCAGCATTCGTACTAAGGATAAAAATATAGGAAATTTTATTTTTGTTAAATATTACAGCGGGAATTAATAAAGAAAATTAAAATAATGCCAACTTATAATACGTTCGGATTTTACAACACAAAAAAAATAATCAAAGGGTCGCCGGAAGGTGGAAGCTGAAAAGTGAACTGAACAGGGAGGAACGAATGAGCTGCTTTATTGGAACAATCGGCCTGCTCCACTCGAATAAATGACTCAGCGGAAACAGGGAAATCGTACGAACAGTGCCTGAGAAAAAAAGGAAAATTTTAGGAAAGCGGAGTCGCCGGAGCTTTTCTTAAGGTAGTATCGCCCGCCTCCCGCACTGGCTAACGTGAACGGTTTCCTCCCAGGATAAAACCGCCAACGCACAAGATCTAGACCGGTAGAATCTCGTGCTGACGAACTAGAATAACGAAGATGTATCTGCCCGAATACTAGAGCGAGAGACTGTTGGATGCAAAGAGCTTTTCGAGAGTGTTCGAGTGTGTTTCTCTGCTGCAACGTGCTCCCTTTATATAGGGCAAGCCTGGATGAACGGACGGATAAACCGAGGAGTCACATGGAGACCCTTCACTGGTGTGCATGCATGCCTTTAATTAAATCCGTCACTTCGTTATTAACGAAGTGTCCCACATGTGTTTGTTTTGGTCTTGTAAAAAATAGCCACGCCACGCCACTGAAGCAGGCACGGATGCGGGCCCAGCCCCGCCCTGCCAACTGCGATGCGCGCGCGTGTCCTGTTGTGACGTGCCGTGCCGAGCCGGACAAACTGCGGCGGCGCGCGAGGAGTTCTTTCATAAGCTCAATTAAATGCTTAAGTTTAAATATGGGAATACGAAAGGTTCAAGATCCGGTGTGGGACAAGGATTTTTACTCTTTCCAGGAGTTCGACTTTGTGAATAAATTTCTCATTCACCCGAGCACCAATTTTGGTTTGTAATATGTCGAAACACTTATCTCACTTACGAGATTAAACGTCCATAATTATTTCGGAAAATAATTTTGTGGACCCTACCGAATTTATGTCCGAAAAATGTCCAAATTAACTAAAAATTCCAACACACCACTATATAACCCTTTCCCTCTATCAGGACCCTTCACTATATAACCCCTTCCCTATATCAGGACCCTTCACTACTATATAACCCCTTCCCTATATCAGGACCCTTCACTACTATATAACCCCTTCCCTCTATCAGGACCCTTCACTACTATATAACCCCTTCCCTCTATCAGGACCCTTCACTACTATATAACCCCTTCCCTCTATCTGGACCCTTCACTATTATATAACCCCTTCCCTCTATCAGGACCCTTCACTGTAAGATCAAAATGTCCAATAGGCCGAACACAGCTCAATTAGTAAACAAGAAACTACCTCAAATTGTTAAGGCAGTAATTGTTCGACATACAGTCTCTCTTGCCACGAAGCTTGTAGTGTGGATCGTCCGCCGCTTCCAACGGTGGTGGTGCGGGGAGAAGATGACAGCGGTCAACAAGAACTCCATAGCTTCCGCCGTCGCCGCCGCCCAGTCCGATATATACAATGCCAGCATTCATACTACCAAATTTTGATAATTACAATGCCAGCATTCGTACTAAGGATAAAAAATATAGGAAGTTTTATTTTTGTTAAATATTATAGCGGGAATTAAAAACAGAAAATTTAAATAATCCGAACTTATAATACGTTCGGATTTCTTCTGGCAAATCGAAAAAGAAGAACAGACGTACCTGGAGTGTGAGAGCAGATTCTTAGAAAACTGTTTTGGTGGAGAAGACCGTCGAAGTTGCAAAATTGAAAAGAAGTTTTGGGGAGAAGATTTCCTTTCCTTTCCTTCTTTGAAAAACTGGATCGAGAAAGATCTACAGAAGAAACGGATTCTTTTTTTTTTAGAGCGCGGCTGTGAATTAATATGGGAAAGACACGTGTAGGCTTATGTGTCAAAATAATAAAGCTCTAAAATTGCCACGTGTCAAAATTCTAAAACATCAACTCTCAAATTTTATATTAAAGGATAAAAGATTAGCCAATAAATATCTTTTGCAAATTAATTGATAGTTATTTATAGTTACACATTAATAACCTCCCAATTATAATTACTTTGCATGTACCCTATAATGATTAATTGGTAAGGAGTGTTTGCTCCAATAAGATTTTTCCATATTTTAATTTAAAATTGTGAAGTCATCAAAGTTGATAGATGATTTGTAAAAAAATTACCATGTAGACTATCCACGTGTCTAATTTCTTTTTTTGTTCTTTTACCCTTTGTGTTTTTATTCTTGAAAGTAATATATCTTCTTTTGAGCAGAGGTAAGATCTGTGTGTACACACTCTTTCCAAATCTGAGATTATAGTGAGTTTGGTGAATTAATAAATGTTAACTTTTACCAATTTGAAAAATGTTAGGGATACACCAAAAAGTGTATCCCAAGTATACATCCCTACATCTCTATCATACAATCTATGAAAAAAATTTGAAAATAGATAAGATTAAATAATGATGATTGACGATGTGCAAATGAGTACACCATTAAGGGTTTAAATCAATATTAATCGGATCGGATATGTTATTACCAGATTCGTATCCGTTTATATTTATTGGATATCAAATTCGGATACGAATCTTGATGGATACTAAAAATCAAAACGTATCCGCATCCGTTGGATATCAGATATATCTGTATCAGTTTCTAATTTTTAAAGTCAAATTTAACAATACTTTATTTTCCAATTAAATTAAGTCAAAATATTATTCATTCAATTGTAATTTTTTTACGGAGTTTTCCTAAAAAAATAGTAATTTATTTTTCATATTTTTGGTAATTTACTCGAATATAATATTTTAAGGCAACTCCATATGATAAAAAGATATATATAGTACACATGCACATATATTTTTATGTGTCTACACTTATTTATATGTGTCTACACATATATTTTGCATATAAAAATATGGGAAAAAACCCTAAATAGAACTAAAATATATCAAATATACTTAAATAGGACTCCAAAACTTAAATCCCTCAAATAGGACTTAATTTGTGTCGCCATACCCAAAATACCCCTCGCCATTTGTGACACAGAACCATTTTTTTCCTCACTGGTCGGGCTACATGTCCACAAGACCACAAGTACTTGAACCACATGTCCACATGTCAGATTACCACAGTACAAACTCTATTTTGAAAGTAAAAAAAAATGGAGCTCCGATGTTTGTACTTTCTCTAAAGTGGGAGTAAAAAATGAAAATATAACAAAATAGAATTTAATTTTTCATGTTTTTATTTACAAAATTTGAATTAAAATACATTTACATTATCAAGAATGAGCATGTCACAATAAATGCCTATGTAGAGTGTCATATTACCACAATGCGAACGTACGTATATTTAGAGAATAAAAACATGGAACTCTTATTTTAACACTTTCTCTATATTTTATTTCTTTAAGCATTATTAAGTAATTAAACACAAAAAAATAAATGGGTCAAACAAGGAAAAATGAAATATAGAGGAAGTTAATAACTAGTAACTACATGTACAATGAAAAAGAGAAGAAAAAAGATGGCACTTGTATGCAAATAACTTTTTTTAGCATAGGTGAATATTTTTCTTAAAATTAATGACGTAAAATTAATGTATATTTGGAGGTATCCTGGAGTATATTTTAAAAAATGTGAGGTACCCGATAGTTAGTTTCTCAAAATAGAGGGTACCTCGGAGTATATTTTAAAAATGTGAGGTACCCGATAGTTAGTTTCTCAAAATAGAAGGTACTTCGGAGTATATTTTAAAAATATGAGGTACCTGACGATTAGTTTCTCAAAATATAGGGTACTCAAGAGCAGTTTTCTGTTGCACCATTACCCTGCCCATTTTCCTAGAAATTGCCGAGTGAGATTCCTTTTGTGCGTGTGGGTCTACAAAACGAATCAAGGAAAGGAAAACAATGAGTCGTCAAAAGTCTACAAATAAGCGTGGCCTGGCGTCGTGCCCGGACCGGAGCAGAGACTGAAGTCGTCGAGAAAGAGACGATGGGAGAGATCGCCGGAGTTCCGTCGGAGGCGGCAGATCGCCAATTACCCGGCACCGACATCAGCTGTAACGGTAACAATATCCATAGCTCAATTCCCCACGCTCCGCCGCCGACTGATCGTCCTGTCCGCGTCTACGCCGACGGGATCTACGATCTCTTCCATTTCGGCCATGCTCGATCTCTGGAACAAGCTAAAAAATCGTACGTTTTTATTTTTTATTTTTTTGCGATCACGAATAGGTTATTGTTGATGTTCATCGTAACTTCATTGACTGATCCCTACGTGTTGAATCTGATTGCTTTTAGGTTTCCCAACACGTACTTGCTGGTGGGATGCTGCAGTGATGCGGTCACGCACAAGTTCAAGGGCAAAACTGTCATGACCGAAGAGGAACGCTATGAATCCCTCCGCCATTGCAAGTAATTTTCTTCTTCTTCTTCTTTTTTGTTTACTCTGTCGAGGTCTCGCTTGCTTTACCTTTTCCATGAATTCAACTTCTTCGTTTTCAAACAGTTTTTTGTTCATCTGAATCTCACTGATAATGCTGCTTCCTGGATCATATTCATCCTTTCCAGAAACTGTATTGATGCTGAATATGCTTCTGCGATTTTTTAGGTGGGTGGATGAAGTTATTCCTGATGCCCCATGGGTGATAAATCAAGAATTCCTAGACAAGCATAAAATTGACTTTGTGGCCCATGATGCTCTTCCGTAAGAAGTTTTCCTCTTTTTGCATTTATGTTGATGCTTTTATCATAAGATGTCTAGTGGACTTCCAATGCATCCAATTTTAGTCTGTTGTTAATTTTTTTGTTGGTTATTTCAATATCTTACAGTTACGCCGATGCTAGTGGAGCAGGAAATGATGTCTATGAATTTGTATGTATGATTAAGATGTAGATGATGTTAATGGCTTCTATTCTTATTTATGAAAATCATATGTAATGAAGATAAGGAGATGTTCCTACATATACTGAACTTTATGTCTCTTAGATGTGGTAGATATCAGATTTTCAATGCGGAATTGTTATTTCTACAGGTCAAAGCTGTTGGGAGATTTAAAGAAACAAAGCGAACTGAAGGGATTTCTACTTCAGACATTATTATGAGGATAGTTAAAGACTATAACCAGTATGTCATCCGCAACCTGGATCGCGGATATTCAAGAAAAGAACTTGGAGTCAGTTATGTGAAGGCATGATCAGTTCATCCTTTCTGTTACTGCATCATTTAATTGTTAAAAAGGATATATAAGACATCATTTTCTTTATTCAACTATTTGCCATTTTTCTTTTGCAATCTGCAAGAGCTGAGAAGTAATTGTTTTCTGGGAGCAGGAAAAACGCCTTAGGGTGAACATGAGACTGAAGAAGCTACAGGAGAAGGTCAAGGAGCATCAAGAGAAAGTAGGAGAAAAGGTATTATTCTGTTGAGATAAATTCCTTCACTTTCACCACAGATGTCTGCTTTTACTTCTATAGTACAGATTGATACATAAGTTAATTTTCCTGACATATATTTTGTGTTAATAGAGTGGGGTTTAGAATCTATGCTTTTGATCTAGTTGTTGGTGTCAGTTTGAGTGCTTATTGTGTTTGTGCCACTTTATTTTACTTGACTCTACTTTGCTCTATCAATGTTTTTTTGAGCCGGAAGTCTCTTCAAAACAACCTCTCTGCTTCCTAGTTGGGCTGTAGGGCTAAGGTCTCCGACTCTCTGTACACACACCCGACCCCAGACCCTACTTCTATGGGATTTTAGTAGGTTTGCTTGTTTTGCTAATAGAGTGGGGCTTAGATTGTATGCTGGATAATAATCAAATAATGATTTTGATCGCCTTTAATATCATGTCCACCCTCTGACCCTCTGACATTTCCATATTTCTCTGCTGTTATTTCAGTATTGTATGATAAGCAAGACAAACCTTGAACAGAGAACTGTGTATTCAATCAAACTGGATACTTATTTGTGTCTCATAATATCGATTCTGACTCAAGCTTTAGTTGCGCATATTCACCCATCCATGAATAGTTTTAAGAAGCCATTCTCGTTGATTTAAACTGAGACCCCAGAAATGTGTGTTTCGTGTAAGATTGATACCACTTCTCTATGTCATGAAATGTGGTTTGGTTTTTAGTCATGTTACAAGTAGGACTAATTACGGTTAAGTGGTTAACATAGTATTGGTTGTCATCAATGTTTTTTTTGGGGGGCTTTCCTGTAATCATCATCTTTATCACCAGTTCATCACCACCAGCACCATCATTCTCACCAATCCACCACCACCACCACCACTATCATCATCATCATGTGGTGCTCTTTAAATAGTGTTTTTTGCTGGACTAAATGCATAGATCACTTCGAATTTTTTTCAGATTCAAATTGTTGCAAAAACTGCTGGTATGCATCGCAATGAGTGGATTGAAAATGCTGATCGGTTAGTTGCCGGTTTTCTGGAAATGTTTGAGGAGGGCTGTCATAAAATGGTAAGCAGAACTCATGCAAAACCTATATTCAGGTACTGTGTTTCAAGTCGTATCGGATATAAAAAAACTTCCTATTTTTCTTTTTTGGATCTCCCCAGGGAACGGCCATAAGGGACCGAATTCAAGAACAGTTGAGAGCTCATCAGCAGAGAGGTCTGCTCGAATATGGGAGCGAAGAAGAGGAAGAAGAAGATTACTATTATGACGACGAAGAAGAAGAAGAGGAAGACGATGAGGAACGTTTCTATGAAGATTACAATGAGGACCCAAAGAAATAGTAATACTGCTCCATTTTGCTGTTGTGATTTATTTTCTAACTGCTAATCTGGTTAAACTCATGTGATTTGCCATATGTTGTATGAAAATCTAGGCTTGTCACATCAAAAGGGTATAACGATTGTGCAGGTTGTGGGGGTGGGGGTGGGGTATCTTTTCCCTTCATGATTTATATATATAGTGCAGCAATCAAATGCAGCGTAGGTGTGTTTGGTGTGTTACTGTAAGGGGAAAATTGAGCTTTAATACCATGTGCTTTGATTAAAATATTCAAACTCCCCAGCGTTTGGGTCTGTTTGGGAATAACGTTTCCAATTGACGCTCGTATATTTGGACACCTTCAGTCTCTTTACTTGTGAGTAAATATTGAAGTAGGTTCTAACTTCGTTATAGATTAGTATTAATGTTTTGAATGATTTTTTAATTTATAGATTATTGTTGAAAACATTATTGTAACATTTTAAAAATAATATCCTAACATCAGTTTTTTTTACTTTTGTCTTTTGGTTGTGAAGGGTGCATTTGGCATAAATTTAAACATTTAATTTTAGCTTCTAGAAATGTTTTCTAGCTGATAAATATTAGTGCTAATATTTTATAGAGAAATGGTAGAGTCACAAATAAACAGTTTACAAACTTCACAAACTTGCCTTTTGTGGATTTCAAATTAAAATATCTTTTATTATTTCAGTGTATTATATTTCCATCATGCACACAAACATAGCACAATCAACACCACAACCATTTTATAATAAGGTACAATACTAACAAATACGAATAACACACACTTGTTATTTTAGTCACTCGACTTATGTCCTCTAACTCATAACCTATTCTAGCCTAGACTTATTTATTTCTACTTGCCTAGGGAGTCATGACTTTCTCTCCTTCAGAATGAAGGTCAAGCTCAAACCAACTCGAGAGTTCCTCGTTGGGTGGGTGAGATCCTTATCTCTTTCGGAATGACAGTTCATAGATCTTCGTTCAAGTGTTTTTACTCGAATAGCCATTGGACCTAGCAAGTACCACATGACTCTAAAATCTTTATATCTATGACGTAACTTGCAACTATTCCATTAAGGTCAATCCTAGAATTCTTCTAGGAAGACTATCTCAATCATTTAATATCTTCATACATTAATTTCATAACATAGGACACACAAGGATCAGTACATTCAACATAATAAATCATGATTCAATCATATGCTTGGAACTGAGTGTGAACAATCATGCTTACCATCATGCAACATGTAAAGTCCCAGAGTACATCCATGACACATAAAACAAAACACCAAAACTAGACAACAGGTTGCAGGCAGTAACAACATCATCTATAGTAGCATGTCCTACCCATCGTCCCGAGACAAGCTTGATGCGATAGCACCAGTCGGAAATCCGATGTTTTGAGCCTTAACTGGCAACCACCAGCGTACATAATGTCTCAACATCATTCATAAACATAATATAATCAAACAGTTGATCAATTAACACCTAATCATGCATTCTACCCGATTAAAGTCATCATTAACCTAATTTTTCCAAAAAATTGCCAATTTTCACAGAAATCAATCATACGAGATTATGAACGTGAATTTCAAACTTATATGTATAATCTAACGTTAGATGTCCACGTACTCACCTCGAATTTGAAGAAAGATTAACTATGAAGAATTGAAAATGATCATGACGATAGCGTGGTGGCGAGGCTCTTCTTCTTCCTCTTTCTTCTTTTTCTTCTTCTTCCTTCTTCTATAGTTCCTCCTGCGCTTCTCGATGCTGTTTTGATCGTGAAAAGAGACGTGCTGAGCGGTGTGCATGCATTAAGAGGTTTATTTATACTCATAGAGTTTCGTGCTCCGTAATTCCTTAATGTACCTCGGTAAAAATATACTTTTCATGCTAACTTACTCCAAATTCATATATGTTTACACCATTGGATTCCTCTCATAGAATCACACACAATGGTATAGTTTTTTAATTTACTGACAAGTACTTTTTAATTAAATCTCGATTCTTCTCAATAATTAATTAACTATTTTTAATTATTTAATTCAGATAGACCGAGTTTCGGGGCGTTACAAGGATTGTTGCTCCCATCGATGTAAAGAGGATTCAAATATTTTTCATGGAAGAATATTTAACTAGGTTTTCCATCATCTCCGATGGAGCCAAAATTTCACCATTTTTTGGCTTTGTGGTGTGATGGAATAAATCAAAATGGATCTCTAAACTGTCTGCGCTTCTTTAATTAATGAAGTAGCATTTAGTCAAGCAATGCAACTTTTGACGTTGAGCCGGGGGTCTCTTTGGAAACAACCTCTCTACTTTCGAGTAGGGGTAAGGTCTGCGTACACACACCCTCCCCAGACCCTATTCTTGTGGGATTTAACTAGGTTGTTGTTGTTGTTGTAATATTTAACTAGGACTAACATATGTTTTGTATGTAGTATATCACAATAAAAATTTTCTATTTTATACTACAAGAGAAAATTTGATGAGTCAAAGTGCTTAGATTAACAGTTCCAAAAGTCAAAAGTGGACAAAAACTGGGGGACGGAGGGAGTATGTATCAATTTTGGAAAAAAAAATACTCCCTCCGTCCCGCTATATTCGTCCACTTTTGACTTTTGGAACTGTTCATCTAAGCACTTTGACTCATCAAATTCTCTCAATGTGTAAGCCTAAATATAGTCATGCGTGATCTTGCTTGATTTGTCTTAACATATAGATTATTAATATATAATTTCTATAATTTTTTAAAATACAAATTACAAGATAAAATAGATTAAAGAAGTGTATTGGATGGTGTGCAAAAATGAAAGTGGATAAATATAGTGGGACGGAGGAAGTATTAAACTCGTTTGAAATTGTAAACTTATACGTTAAAAATTTGTAATAATAAAGAAATACTCCGGTGGGGTATTTCTAACGGGTCATTTCTGGTTCTGGTTTGGATCCAGCAGTGACATTCCTCGTTTGCGCCAATTTCATCTTCTCTGAGATCGAACCAAGAGAGACAGAGAAAAAAACCAGGCAATTGAATCAAGTAATGGCGGACCGCTTCTTTCCGAACGAGATGCCTGATTTCGTCCCAGAATCGGCCGAAGCGGCGGGGGAGAAAGCTCAAGATTCACTCACGAAGCTTCTGCGTCTTCCTTACAACAACTTCGCGGAGAGAATTAAGCAATCGGCGATGGAGCTTAAACAAACGGTACACAGTAGCGATCTACTTCTTCCATAGAAGTAAAACACTGTATATTTCTAGGGTTTCGAGATTGGTGAACGGATTGATTCGGTTCGATTTAGATTGTGGAGGAGACCTGGGTAGCTAAGGGGAGACGCGTGAGTGACTATTCACTATACACTGGGGCTCTCGGGACGGCTTTTTTGCTGTTCAGAGCATTTCGGGTTAACGAAGATAGGAACGATCTTGCTTTGTGCTTGGAGATAATCAGTGCTTGTGAGTCTGCTTCTTGCAGTTCCGGGTATGAACTGTGTGTCTCATGGATTGAATTTTGGCTTGCATTTTGTGTTTGAGGATTTCACCTTCTTCACATGAGATGTTTAAATCAATTTGTCTCTTGGCCTAGAAATGTTGGGTTTAGCATTATTGCATGTTTTTCAAAACCAGACAAGAGTAATGGCTGGCTGGCAAGGTTTTTACATACCTTACCTTTACAATCATTGTTCAAGATTTTTTTTAATATCAAATATCACTGTATTTGTGGGTGTGTGGGCGAGTAGATGAAATCGGTTTAGAGCGAGTCTGTGCATTGCGAGCAATTTGTTTCTCTGTTTTCTCGAGCTTTGCAAAGATCATATTTTTATGGAACCCCAGTTCCTATGACATTGGGTTTCACATTGGCCCCAATTGGGGCACCTACGATGTCCATTTCGTAAAATTCATGGTTTCTACACCCCAACCCGGGCGGACCCCCCCACCACTTCAATTGAACCACCATTTCGTAAAATTGATGGTTCCCTGTTGACTTTAGAGTCAATTTGTTTACTCTAAAGTTAACTAAAATTGGGGGGCTTCAAATGAAGTGAGTGGGTGGTGTGTTTGGGTCGGGTCAGATGGGGGTTAGAGGGTTTAGGAATCAGGAACCGTTGGTGCCCCAAATCCCCCAATTGGATTCCATGTCATCCCATGACATTGAAACCCAATGTGACGGGAACTTCCCCTTGTTATGGACGGTTGCATCAAAATATTTGCAGTTTAATTCTGATTGTGAGTCTGCTTCTCGCAGTTCCGGGTATGAACTTTGTATCTCATGGATTGAATCAGTTTTTTCAGTAGTTTTTTCACTCTTGTGTTTGAGGACTTCACCTTCTTCACATCAGATGTTTTTATACAATATTTGTCTCTTCTCTTGGCTTAGAAATGTTGGGTTTAGCATTATAGCCCTTTTTTTTCCAAACCAAACAAGAGTGCGGGCTGGCAGGCAAGTTATACCCGGTAAAATTGACGGATACAAGTTGTTTACTCCTAAGTCAACTAAACATGGAGGTTCAATTGTAAGAGGTGGTGGTGTGTTCGGGTCAGTCCGGGTGGGGGGTTCACTAGGGGATCAGAGGGGTTAGGAAACCTGAGATGTTTTAATCAATTTTTGTCTCTTGGCTTAGAAATGTTGGGTTTAACATTATTGCCTGTTCTTGAAAACCAGACTAGAGTAAGGGCTGGCAGGCAAGTTATACACTTATACACATGACTTACCTATACAATCGTAGTTCAAGATTGTTTATCATATATCACAATATTTGTGGGTGTGTGGGCGAGTATATGAAATTGGTTAGAACAAGTCAGGGCATTTGCCAGCAATTCGTTTCCCTGTTTTCTCGAGCTTTGCATAGACCATATTGTTATGGCACCCCGGTTCCTATGACATTGGGTTTTAATGTCATCTGTCAACATTGGTTACATTGGCTCCAATTGGGGCACTTACGGTGCCCATTTTGTAAAATTGATAGCTCCTATGCCTCTAACCCCGGTAAATCTCCGCACCCTAGCCCGGCCCACTTCAACTGAGCCCCCAAGTTTAGTTGACTTCAGAGTCAATTATGTTACTCCAAAGTCAACAAAACTTGAGGGCTTCAATTGAAGTGAGTGGGTGTTGTACTGTTGTGTTCGGGTCGGGGGGGGGGGTTAGGAATCATCAATTTTAGGAACCGTAGGTGCACAAATTGGTCCAGTGTCATCCCATGACATTGTAACCCAATGTCACAGGAACTTCCCCCTTGTTATGGACGGCTGCATCAAAATATTTGCAGTTTAATTCTGATTGCTGTCATGGAATTGTAGGAGGGTCACATTCATATGTGGGCAAGCAGGTGTATGTGCTCTTGGTGCAGTTTTGGCGAAGCACATGGGAAATGAGCAGTTGTTTAACCACTATTTGGCTCAATTTAAGGAGGTCGGTGTACCCTGCATTTTTTTTGTTTTTATCCCCACAAGGCATATTTACTTGGAATTTTTCCCTGCATTTACAGATTAAGCTTCCCAAGGATCTTCCGGATGAATTACTATATGGGAGAGTAGGTTACTTATGGGCGTGTTCGTTCATAAACAAGAATATTGGTCAAGGGATAATAAGTACATCCAAAATGGTAAGAAATTATTTCCTCCTCGTGCTGTTTTTTTTTGTAAATTACATAACTTACCCTTGTGCAGCGAGCAGCAGTAGATGATGTTGTAAGGTCTGGCCGCAAAATGGCAAAAGGTGGGTGCCCTTTGATGTATGAATGGCATGGGAAAAAGTACTGGGGAGCTGCCCATGGTTTGGCTGGTATCATGAATGTATTGATGGATATGGAACTCGAACCGGATGAGCAGGAGGATGTGAAATCCACCCTAAGGTATCTGATCAGTAACCGGTTTCCCAGTGGGAATTACCCTTCAAGTGAAAGAAGCGAATCGGACCGTCTTGTTCATTGGTGTCATGGTGCTCCTGGTCTTGCTCTTACTCTCACAAAGGCTGCAAAGGTTGAGTCCATGCTACTCCCCAATTAAGTTTCTTAAATTTTTTTGGAGTACTTGTGATTTTATTTCGTTTCAAGAAAATCATTAGCCGGCCCCCCTAGTCGGATAAGGCTTTGTTGTTATTACATTAGTGATACTCATTTTGCTAAAAGTCATTATTGATGATGAATAAGGCCATAAGGGTCTAATAGAAACAGCCTCAATCTTTTTTAACATGGTTAAAGCTGTGCACATCTTGATCCCCTTATGTTGGGAGGAACCGTGTGTTGGGTGTATCCCACACCGGAAAAAAATCAAACAAATTCTACCCACATACAAAGAAAGATGAAACACTACCCACATTGACTTAAGCTTTTAGCTAGAAAGTGGATCCGGACTTTATATGGGAAAGCGATCAATTCTCACCCGACACTCCACCCAGTTCACTCTGCTCACTGAAAATCCGACCCACTTACGCACTAAAAGAAGATCCCAACGCCCTCCCTTGGGATTACACTAGGTTTTGTTGTTGTGTATACTGAAATTTCTGCATTTTTGTCCATTTAGAAGGATGAACCTAGACACCTACAAGCCTCTCTTAGACATTTGATGTTTTATGCCATCCATAGGTTTTCAACAGTGAAGAGTTTCGACAAGCCGCTGTGGATGCAGCCGAGGTGGTATGGGAGAGGGGACTGCTGAAACGAGTCGGGCTCTGTCACGGCATCAGCGGAAACACCTACGTGTTTCTCTCACTGTACCGTTTAACGGGTGACGCGAAATATCTGTACCGGGCAAAGGCATTTGCTTGCTTCTTGCACGATAGAGCTCAGGCTCTTGTGTCACATGGAATTATGCACGGCGGCGATTGCCCGTACTCTCTGTTTGAAGGGGTGGGAGGTATGGCGTATCTGTTTCTCGACATGTGGGACCCACTCGGCGCTAGGTTTCCTGGTTATGAACTTTAGCTCTCTTTCTCTGCAAAGGATATGAATGTGATACGATGTGTTGTTCTTGTTCTGAAAAATGGTTTGGTGTTGAATTGATGATTAGAAATGGATGTGTTGATGTCTTAGCAATAATGTTCTTAGCAGTTGAACTTGTTTTTGGCTTTCTTCTAGGGGTGACTGCATGTAAATTCTGGAACTACAGCTTCTATAAATCAATAAGGATCACCTCCAAAATGATTTATGGATGGTTAGTATTCCCTGTTTGACCAGAATCTATGATTGGAAAAGATGACATTGTGTTGTTGAAAACATGGTCATCACCAAAAGTCAAGTTGAGTCGTTGAAGAGGAGACTAGTCATTCAAATCCTAACGTCCAAAATTTTATTTAAAAAAATGATTTTTTTAATAAATTGGTCTAGAAATAAAAAATAAAAGTTACTGAGTATATGTTAAAAAATTATACTCCCTCCATCTACAAATAAACTTTCCGTTTAGTATTCACAGGGTCAAACTTTATTAACTTTGTTGACTTATTTTTGTCATCCATTTGATAAAATAATATAGTCATGTCACTTCTAGTTTTGTAAATTTTTTGATATACTTTTTTTTAATATGTAATTTTTATTTTTAAATTTTACCTCATTTTTTTATATAAAATGATTAAAAAATAACTTCAGTCAAACATCGTAACGCACAACGAGAAGTTTATTTGTGGACAAAAGGAGTATTAAAAGTTTTATAAAACAAGATGTGACAAGAATATTTTATTTTATTAAATAATCAATAAAAATATACGAGCAAATAAGAGTTTGTGAAAGACTTAAATATTTAATGTGCAAATCATTTTTGGGACAGAGTGAGTATGTCTATAAAGTTTAATGAAGAGACTAGTGCAATCATTTTTTAAAGGTTTTTGGATGCCAAATTATTCCCATTTGGAAAGAAAAAAAAAGAGAATCAATTTTTAAAGGTTTAACTCACCTCATAAGTAAAAGGTTTTTTGAGAAATATCATACTAATGCAGGGTTGAAGTGTGGGCCAGAGTCCAGGTTCGGAGCGAGCAAGAGCAGCACGTAGTGCGGTATAAGAAAATCTCGGTGTACTGGCGTAATAATAGGACCAAGACCTAAAGGAGATATACATGTGGTGCCTTGTGTCAAAAAACATTCTAATAAGAGGTCGGAAGGCGCGTCTCCTGTTGTTATAACAAAAGAAATCACTCCAAATAGGATTAAAGCAATACTATTATTCCAAAATATGAGTTTCATGTTTTTATTTTCGAAATATAAATTTTGTAATGTGACTTTGTGACATAAGTACATAACTAATCACAATAATTCGTACATTCTCCATCACTAGCTTTCACACCCACATAATATATTTTCAAAAAAAGGATGAAGCCCATCCTAGGGCTCCCTCAGACTCGGTCGAACTATCAATAAGAGAAGGTAAATTAGACTTTAATCGCAGATTAATGGCAAAGAGTGAAACCTACACCTGTTATTAGCAGAGGCCATATGTTTAGCGTCGCGCAGTTGCTTCAAAGCGCAGTTGTCTCCAAGCGCAGTTATCAGGATTCGAACTCGAGTTTTACTTTCTTGACACTTTTTATCTTATCAACTGCGCAACGCCTAGCGACACATCATATATTTTGAATTTTGAGTACACAAATACACAATCTTTTCTTGATATAGCCAACAAAAAGTGTGTTGAAAAGAGTGTGCAAAAGAGCGTGACTGCCAGCAAAAACTAAGCTTTATGTTTGGCAACTCAGTCACTGGCAACCAATTTGTTTGTATTGTATATAAAGCCCAAAACAGTTCAAGCATTGAGGAGATAAGATTGCCGCCGGCCCCGCCGCCATGGACGCCCTTCATCATTTCCTGACAGCTCTAATTGCCCTGCTCTTGCTGCCGTCGACGGCGACGTGTGCCGCCGAGGAGCGGCCGCCGTGCGATTTTCCGGCCGTATTTAACTTCGGCGACTCCAACTCCGACACCGGCGGCCTGTCGGCCGCTTTTGGGCAGGCTGGGCCGCCCCACGGAGAGACGTACTTCAGTCATCCTGCCGGTAGATACTGCGACGGCCGCCTCAAGATCGATTTTATCGGTAATTAATTAAATTTTCTCTTCTTTTTTTTACCTTTTAACACTTAAAATTTTTTAAAAGTAAGAAATGAGAAGAATTTCATAGAACCAAGAGGTAAGAAAAAAAGATTAAAACAAAAGTAAAACATTGAAAATATATCAAAATAATAATTTCATGTTTCTATTTACGAAATAGGAATTTAACTGTATTTACAGTACCAATCATGATTACAAAAAAAATATTACGAAATGTCTATGTACAGTGTCACGTTAGTTTAATGTCAACTTGTATTTAGAAAATAAAAACATAAAATTCATATTTTGATACTTTCTTTTTGTTTTACTTATATTTGAAATGATTTTTAAGAAGTATAATTAAGAGATTGACAAATTCTAGAGTAGACATAAGTTCCGACATGAACCTATATATAAGTAAAATACGGAGTAATTGTTTATTTACTACTTAAATAATATTTTTTTTTTTTGAAAAAAAAATAAAAAATTATATGAGAAAATCTAGGAAAATTGTATGCACACAAAGTGTACCGAAAACACTCTAAGAGATAATTATTCTCTAGTCTTTACCAGTTTTTTCTAACAATTAATTTCAGACATCTCCATTTTCTTTCTTAAAGAAGAAAAATGTGGACATGCAACTTTATGTCTTACTCTTCACAATAAATTTCACCCAACTTTTCACTTTTATCAAACTTTTTTTTTTTTGTTTTTTCAACACTTGTTTGATTCCATAAAGTCAAAAAAATAAAGTTTAGAAACAGGTAAGGATTATTTCTTTTGTTCGGAAATAAACATAATAGTTTGATTTCAGAAAATTTATAAAAAAAAAAATTTGAAAACATTAAAATTTGTTTAAGACTATTAAAATGGGTTTTTAATTTTGTAGACCAAGAGAAAGAATTATTGGCCCAGAGAGTGCCCTATAAACTACTCGTGGGCTTGTGGCCAATTCGAGGCCCACCGCTTCACGTGCGGAGTTGATAAGAGGGTCTGAGTCGGGTCTCGGACCCATACCCGTTAAATTGCTCCAGGTCAGATCCGGTTGGCCAACGGGCCCAGAATCTAGATCCATATGCCCGTCCGTGGGAGAAAATAAAACACTTATCTACTGTATTTTTTTAGCACCAATAACTCTACGGCACGGTTTTCTTGACACTCACGAAAGGTGACACTATTAGAGCTTCAGTGCATTGCATAATAGACACATATTTCAAGGGGGTGGATTAAGGGCAGGGCTGGGATAGGGGTGGGGGGGGTTAAGGGGTGGGTTAGGGGATAGAGACTATCAATTTTTCATTTGGAACATTGGAGGTGCTCCCAAAAATGCAGTGCCACCGCCGGTGTCACCGTTGGCGAGTGTCAACGAAACCCCACACATAAGTCATAACTCTATTACAATGTAGTATTTGTTTATACATTATAAACCTGTTAAAAGTCGTATAGTTATTGCCCGCACTGAGAATCAAACATGTGACTTCTCATTTAGGAAATGCATAGCAGTGCCACTGGACTACCGTTCTAATTTGATTTTTCTAATTTATTTTTCACTATTAATTAAGTCTAATTTTAAATAAATAAATATTACGAAGTATAAAATTTTGATGCATATAAATATTTTTTTTTAAAATATACCTAATTATATTAAACTTACATTTTAACTACGGAGTAAAATATTTTTTTTTCATAATATGTGTAATTGTGTTCAATGTTACCAAAAAAGTTAAACTAAAAGTTTGAGACAATAATTTTGAGACGACGGAGTATAAGGGTTTTTTTTCGTTTTAGCTTTCTCATTTCAAATTACGATGATTGACAAAATTTGTTTTAATTAAATAAACGTATATATTAATGTAAATATTTAAAAAGTACAAAATTATGTGTAATTTTTTTTATCAAAAGTTCAAAGAAAAAGTTGATATAATTATATCATTTTATTAAATGATTAATAAAAATATAAAAGTAAATAAAGTATAATTCTATAGATCATAAAAAAGAAAGTTAAAAAGAGAATAATGTTAAAGTCACAAGATGCACTAGCTTTTTTTTAACTCAGTAAGAGAATAAAATGCTCTGAGAGTGTGAGGTATTTTAAAACGCAAACGTTTAAATTCGTAATGGTAAATTACTAAATTTACATACTCTTGATATGATGCACAAATAGTAAGATTATATATTTTGTGGCTTTTGTGATTGTAACTCTAATCTTTCTTGCAAATTAATTGTATCACCTTCTTATATAGAGGTCAATTTTTTCCATTTTTTATTTATTTTTATTAATTATTTGTTAAAATTATATAGTTATGCCATCTTTTATTTTCTAGAGAATTGATGCAATTTTTAATATTTACTCAATAACTTTTATTTTTAAATTTTTTTACTACTATTTAAATAAATTTAATTGAAAATAAATTAAGTCAAGCTTTGTAATCCATGCATAAACTGACAATTAAATTACATGACTCCTTTTGTCCCATTGTATTTTGTTCCTTTTGATTTTTTTGGGTTAAATATGATGAATTTTGAGTTTCAGTTAAACATAAATGATAATGTATATTACTATAGAAATAATTTTATTAAATGTACTCGTTGGAAATTTTTAGAATTTTATTTCACTATACTAATATTTAATACTCCCTCCGTCCCGCTATATTCGTCCACTTTTAACTTTTGGAACTATTCATCTAATTAAGCACATTGACTCATCAAATTCTCTCAATGTGTAAGCCTAAATATAGTCATGCGTGATCTTGTTTGATTTGTCTTAACATTTAGATTATTAATATATAATTTCTATAATTTTTTAATTTACAAATTACAAGATAAAATGGATTAAAGAAGTGTATTGGATGGTGTGCAAAAATGAAAGTGGACAAATATAGTGGGACGGAGGGAGTACAACTTAAGAGTAATTGACGCTCAAAATTTGTCTAGTTTAATTCGAAAAAATTAAACTAAACAAATAAAGAAAGTACTTCATTCGTTCTAAAATGTTCTTTCACATTATTATTAACAAATTGCGGGTTACGGAGTAAAATTTTCTACTTTTTGAAATCATTTCATTTACAAATTGATATATCAATAAGATATAAAAATTATATATTAAAAAACTACGTCAAAAGTTCTACAAAACAAGAGGTGACAAAAACATTTTATTTTATCAAATAGTTAATGAAATCGCGTAAACAAACAAAAGTTATCGAGAGGAGAGAGAAAAAAATTGTAATCTATTTAGGGACGGAGGGAGTATAGTCTTGCCAATCTTATTTTGTTGAACTTTTGATATAATTTTTAGATATACGAGTATAAATTTTATTTTTAAATATTATATCTACCATTAAATAAATTTAATTTAAAATAAAATCTATCAAAAGTTCAATTTTTACAGCGGAGAAGTTAGGGCTCCCATATCTGAGCGCATTTCTGGACGCATTGGGCTCCAACTTCACGCACGGAGCCAATTTCGCCACCGCCGGATCCACCGTCCGGCCGCCGAACACCACCCTCCACCAAAGCGGCTTCAGTCCTTTCTCCTTAAACGTCCAATTTTACCAGTTCAGCGACTTCCGCCGCCGGTCCCAGACCATTCTCCGCCGCCGCCGCGCCGCCTCCGCCGATGTTTTCCGAGCATTGGTCCCTCACGCCGGCGTTTTCGCCAAAGCTCTCTACACGTTTGACATCGGCCAGAATGATCTGACCGCCGGCTATTTCATGAACATGACGACCGGCCAAGTCAGAGATTACGTCCCCGATGTGCTGGATCAGTTCACCACCGTTGTCAAGGTTCCATTCTTAATTCTAATCTTTCTGTTCAAACTTCTTCAAATTGTTCTTTTACATTTCATTTTTCTTAATATTGATGTTCTATTTCATTTAGACTATTAATGGTAAAACTTTTTGTGAAGATAAAGTAAAAAAAAAAAATAGAAACATTAAATTTATACCAAAATAAAACTTCGCATGATTCATACCCTAAATGTAAGTGTCGATACGGTATAATCTCGCAATTTGATATTATATATTGGCATTGCATAGTTCTTTAGTCCCACGATGGATGTCACTTTGCATTGTGTGTTTTCCTTACTTACGAGGTATTTGATAAAATAAAATATTATTGTCACATCTTGTTTTATAAAACGGTTAATGTAAATCTAATTTTTAAATGTTATTCTCCCTCCATCCCAATTTTGATTACAATCTTTTTAATTTTTGTTCATTTATCTGTTTTCATCGATTATTCGATAAAAAATATTTTTGTCATCTCTTATTTTGTAAAATTTTTTACGTAAATTTTTAATTTGTAATTTTTATTTTTTTAATTGATGTAACAATTTGTAAATAAAATGATTACAAAAGATACAGAGTTTTACCTCGTAAATCCCAATTTGTAATCAAATTTAGGACGGAGGGAGTAAAAGTTTCATATTTTATTTCTATACCAATTTCTATAGACGTAGTTAGTTCTGTCCTACTTTTTTTTAATCCTAAGGCTCGAATAAGACTTGTTCTCTTCAACTTCTCTAATTAGTTCTGATCTGATTCGATTAAGTTCTGAATTGCTTTGAATTTATTATAGTTATATTGAAAGTTGTTTTTGATCTGATCTGATTCTAATATGAAAAAGTAGTGAATAAAAAGTAATGAATAATCCAATAATTGTCGTCCCCACCATGAATGTTTTTTTGCAGAGCGTATACAATGAAGGCGGGAGATACTTCTGGATACACAACACTGGCCCCGTCGGCTGTTTGCCATACGTGATGGACCGACTGCCGGTGAGAGCGGCGGAGGTGGACAGTGCCGGCTGCGCTGCCCCATTCAACGGCGTTGCCCAGTACTACAACCGCATGTTGCGGCGCGCTGTGGTCCAGCTCAGGAAGGATCTCCCAAACGCCACACTCACATACGTCGATGTCTACTCCGTCATGTACGATCTCATCCGCCACGCCAATGAACATGGTAATTTGTTTCGCTCGTCTCAAATTAGTTGTCCACTTTCTATATTTAATTTTAAAAATACTACCTCCGTCCCTGAGTATTTGTCCAGTTTTGACTTTTTTCGGTCAACTGTTTTCAACCTTTGATCTATAATTAAATAAATTATATATTTTATTTTAAATAAATAAAATAATATTTTAAAAATATTTGATATAATAAATCTAATAAAACTCTTTTTGTATCAACATCCTAATATCATTTTTTATTTAATTTAAAGTCAAAGTTTACCAATTTTGACCGAAAAAAGTCAAAAGTAGACAAATACTCAGGGACGAAGGGAATATATAATGTGTTATCTAAAAATATTCTTATTTTGGCATCCATTTTAAATGGCACAATGTGACCCTGGGGGGCCATTTTGGAGTGCCACAATGCTCCGTTGCGCCCGAAGTAGATCATAACCTAACTGACTGCAAGCCTCTTGCCTTCCGTAAATTCTCTCACGGTTAAAAAAATGGCGAAATTTAGGACGACAATGGGTTTGTGGAGGGTTCGGAGATAGGACCCCACTTTAGAGTCCAACAGAGCACAATAGAGTCAGACGTCAAAATATGATACTTAGTATCAGTGTCAAAAGAATTCCATCGTATATAAGTGGGATTCTTTTGACACTCGTTTTGCGTTTGAAGAGGGTTTGGAGATAGGACCCCACCGTAGAGTCAAACAGAGCAGCGTAGAATCGACGTCAAAATGTGACCTAATGTCAGTGTCAAAAGAACTCCATCGTATAAGAGTGAGATTCTTTTGAGACTCACTTTGTGTGTCATAATGTGACATCGTGTCATTTTGTAGAGCTACGGTGTTCCATTGCACTCGAAGGTGATCCTAACCCCTACCCTCCCCATTTACTCTGATTTCCTCAAGTATCACTGTAAAAATATTAGCGAAATTAAGATAAAAAGCACGAGATTTGACAGTAATATCCACTTCGAGACCCAACGAAACACTGTAGAGTCTCAGTGTCATAATATGACGCTCAAGGTAAAGAACTCTACCATTTGTTATCGGTGGGGGTTCTTCTACACCCACTTTGAGTGTCATGATGTGCCAACCTTATTGACTTTCAGACGAAAACCAAAGTGTTAATATTATAGTTAAGCAAACACTCGAGCTAAGTGACTTTCACCTTTTCAGGTTTTGTGCATCCACTGCAGGCATGTTGTGGGCATGGGGGGAAGTACAACTACAATGTGCATATTGGGTGTGGAGGGAGGATGAGAGTGAATGGGACACAAGTAGTGGTGGCAAAATCGTGTGGCGATCCATCGGCTCGGATCAACTGGGATGGGGTGCATTACACCGAGGCGGCTAACAAATGGGTTTTTGACAAAATCGTCAACGGGTCATATTCGGATCCGCCGGTCCCGCTGACAATGGCTTGTCACAAGAACTAGATTGTCGTGCAAGTTGTCGACGAGATTGTTCTCACCCTTCATACCAACATCGTTTCGCATATATGAGTTTCTTTTTTTAAAAATGTTGGGAATCCACCACAGGTGCCCCTATAGATTTCAATCACAGATGATTTATACATACATAGGCGATATTGTCTGTGAACACAATCTGTGTATGTATAAAATCACCTGTAATTGTCATCTGTGGGGCAACCGTCGTAGATTCCTAGCATTATCCTTGTTTCTTTTTTTAACAATAATAGTCAGAGATACTATTGGGTTCTTTTTCAAATAATAGTCAGAGATACTAGCATCTGTGAACACAATCCTTGTTTCTTTTTTTAACATCGTTTCGCATATATGAGTTTCTTTTTTTAAAAATGTTGGGAATCCACCACAGGTGCCCCTATAGATTTCAATCACAGATGATTTATACATACATAGGCGATATTGTCTGTGAACACAATCTGTGTATGTATAAAATCACCTGTAATTGTCATCTGTGGGGCAACCGTCGTAGATTCCTAGCATT